CATACTAATTTCAAATTCAGCTTTATACGGATATCTATTATATTTTTTTATATACTCAGCATATTCCTTATTAAGACATGTTTTTAATTGATCTAGGAAATTTGGATTTTTTTATTTTTTGCGGAGTTATACCTAAAAACTTTTTATCATCTGGAGTATTATCATTCAGTAAGTTATTCCATGCAAGTTGTGCATTTGATGACTCTTTTTCTTGAAATCAGCAAAATGCTCTTTGTATAATTCTTGCATATCCATCTCGAGATTTAGGTTTATCGCACTCGTGATTCCAATGTTTCTGCATCAAATTATCTGGCTCGATAATTTTGATATACCTTTTTCTGGTAAAATGGAATGATTTATTTGGCTTTACATTATCAATATGTATAAGTTTCATACAATCTAAACATATCGCTACATTGGATTTATGGATTCTAGGTCTGTAGTAATCATGATTCATTAGCTTAGAATTCCCAAATCCACCAAATAAACAATGTACATGATATACACTTTTTTTTTTTTCAAAAACCAACTCTTGTAAAGGAACTCTGACCCAAATAGCCCATTGTCGTGGAGTTTCATTGGGTCGAATAACTGATATATTATGATCTAAAGCGCGTATAACACGTGATTTTATCAGACTCAAACTTTTGAACATATTTACATCTTGTATAGACACGATCAAAATTTATTTCATAGATTGTGACAGCTTGTCACAATGTCACGTGACCTTACAATGGATTATTATTACAGCGTAATGAGGCTTTGCCTCTATTTTTTAGAATCGGCATAAATTACTGAAAGTTTGGCTAATACAAAATCAATGTCATCTTGGGATATATTTGCTATTGTTGTAGTTGTAAAAGACCGAATCCGTTTGATTTTATCGACCCCGATCTCATTAAAGATATCATAAATTTTCTGGACCCTTTCCTTTGTCTTTCGAAGTAAACTTTCACTAACTGATTCAGGAATCTGAGTTCTAACCTCATTATTAACTAACTCTTGAGCTGTGCGTTTGGGATTTGTTTTTCTGTAGTAATTGAAGCGATCCTCCAATGCTTTTCCCAAATGAAAATAACAAAGAATAACTTCTTGAGACGTTTTCTTATTATTATCTTCAGATTCTATGATTTTTTGATACAAATTAAGGAAATTGATTGTTGTCGAGGGGGCAAATTTGGATTGCAAAATTTCTGAATTTTCAGAAGTATCAGTAGACAACTCACTGATAAGTTTTTTTAATATATGCGAATCTTCCTTTCCAATCTGCTTCTTCACTTTCTTGCTGGATGATTTATTGGTAGACTCACCAACACGCTGTTACGGTCCAGAATTATCTTAATTCCTTAATTTTAGTCATGTGATAGAGCAGAGATAACAGAGATAACAGAGATAGCAGAGATAGCA